CCCTGGGAAGATAGGTTTCAGAGGGCTCAGATAGGGCTCTTGTTATCATGTATGATGTCCTTCTATATCTCCTGAAAATGCCGCATGTCATGCAGCCAGTGCATTGATATTTGCACATGCGTGTGTGTATATACATATACATGTATGTATATAGTTTTATTCTATGTGTAGAGATGTGCCGGTTCACACACATTTAGTTCATGTGTGTAAATATGAATGGCGGATCATTTTTCACTGCCTGAGGTGTACCGATCTGCACAGTTCGCCGTATTCGAGGCTGCTGTGCCGAAGTCCCGAGCCTGATGCAGCCTTACGATGCTTGTAGCTGCCGACCTTCATGAAAACCCTGCGCCCTGAACCCTAAACCGATTACTACGGCTTTAGGGTTTGAGGTTTCGGCTTGGGGCTTTGCATGCAAGAGGCATGAGTTTAGTCTCTCCCGCTGCTCGTGGGCTCATAGCCTGGTAGGGAGGACAAGTCAGGCGGCACTCAAAAACTCTAGTTTAACGCCTGGATCAGCCTTTCTGAGCTACCCCTGTGGCTTTCCATGTAGGGAGGGCCTAACTCTATGAACCCTAAGCCATATAAACCTCAGTCGTAAACCTCCACCTCCCATCTCCCCCACTTGAGTCTCTACTGTACTATAGAAGCCTGAATAATTACCAATAGTATTTTTTTTTTGGGGGGGGGGCTACTTACTACAATGGTAAGGCTCCTATAGTACCCAGGTCCCTCCTTGCGTTTTAAAAGGGCCTCAGAGAGCCGCGTTTCGCGTGATGGACTCCTACAATGGCGACTCCTTCTCCTCGACCCTCGGCCGCCTTTGAGAAGGAAGTGCTGATGTTGGTATAGTCTAGTTTAGGGTTTAGGGTTTAGGGTTCAGGGTTTAGGGTTTAGGGTTTAGGGTTTAGGGTTTAGGGTTTGGTTTAGGGTTAGTGTAGTAAAACTCACGTAGTATAGGGGCCTTAATATTTGAAATAGGGTTTTGGGGCCCACTGTACTACAATCATAAGAAGGAACACCCCAAAATAGTATTGGTATTCATTTAGGCCCTTAACATAGTATCCTTAAGCACAGAAAGGAACATCAGTTGTAAATTTAAAGATACTAACTCTCAAATTACTGTTGTCTCCATCTGAAAACCAAGCCTTAAGCCTTAGACCCTAAACCCCGAACTGCTAGAAACCCTAAGCCCTAAACCCCGAACCCCTAAAATCCTAAACCTTAAACCCCGAACCCTAAGCCTCACCCTAAGCTCAAGATCCAAGACCCTGAATCCTGTAAACCCCAAACTCAAAGCTTTAACCGAAAGCAGTAAGCCCTAAACCCTGAACCCCGAATTAAACCCCTAAGCCCATAAACCCTAAGCCTAAACCCCTTCTAACCCTAAACCCTGAACCCCCAAAACCCTAAACCCGAAACCCTAAACCCCAAACCCTAAACCCGAAACCCTAAACCCTAAACCCTAAACCCCAAACCCTAAACCCCAAACCCAAAGCGCAGCTTAGGATGGAGGACATGGGCTTCAGCGCCGAGGACAGCGTTTGGAAGGCCGAGGACTGCCCCTCCATCTGCGCCCCTTGGCTTAGCGGTTTAGGGTTTTGGGTTTAGGGTTTAGGGTTTAGGGTTTGGGGTTTGGGGTTTTGGGTTTAGGGTTTAGGGTCGGATTAGGTAGGGTTTAGGCTCTAGGGTTCAGGGTTTCGGGGTTTAGGGGTTTAGGGTTTGGTGTTTATTCCTGGGGGCTCCTTAAATGGAATGAGACAGAGCATACTCGAAGAAGCCTAGTCTAATTATTAAGGTTCATTGGCTTGGAGTTGCTTTGTTGTGATGTTACGGGGGTTTTGGGATTGCAGCATTTGTTGCGGGACTGCTTCGGGTAGCATGTAGGGTTGCACAAGTGTGTTGTTTTCTTTGGGGGGGCTTCTTCAGAGATTTCCGTCGGGGTTAGGGATTTTGATTTGTGTTTGCAGGGGGGCTCTTCGTTTGTTCTAAAGGGTTTGGGGGTTGAACCTCGGCTGTTGTGTGTTTCCTGTGGATTTGGTCAGCAGAAAAATGGGGCTTTCGGGTGTTCTGTAACTAGGAGGCTCTAAGGGTTCAGAATTTGAGCAGGAAAATGTGTAGGGTTTGTAGCATTGGGCCACCCCTATACAGCCGTAGAGCACTTGCAAAGTGAGTTTCGGCAGCGATCGCCGGGATTTCGGACGGCAACTTGGGCATCGCCTTTCAGGGAGGAGCCCCAAGCCTCAAATCCTGAACCCAGCAGCCTTCAAAGCTGAATCCTACGGACCTTCGGCCCTGATCTCCTACACCTTAAGCTCTGAATCCTAGGACCTTCCAGTAGGGGTTCGGGCTCTACCTGCCTCCCTTGATTCAGGGGCTCCAGTTTCAATTGCTGTCGCAGATATGGGACTTTCCGAAAATTAGGGGGTACCTTATTTTGGGGTCCTTATAATAAGGATCCTACTATTTAGGGTACTATATTGGGGTCCCCTATTTTCGGAAACCCCCATATCTGGGTTATGCAGTCTCACTGCTCGAGTATAGATTTGTGTTTGGACACGGGACGCGGGACGCGGAGGCGGGACGACGCACGAGAACTCGCCTTTTATGCATTGCTCAGTCTTACATACTTGGCCCTCGCCCTTAATATAGGGCCTTATATTAATACTTACCTATACTATTTTGGGGGCTCATTATTATAATTATAGTATAACATACTCCAAAATCCTACTCTAATTATTAAGACCCTACATTAATCCGGCAGACGCTGCCGTAGCTCAAGTACACAGCTGGGGCAGGGCCATACCCAAGTTCGTCGAGTAAGGCATCCTCAATGTCAATGTCCGGAAGGAGGGTTTAGGGAGAGTAGTGTTTAGGATTTAGGGTTTTTGCAGTGTACGCTTGGCACCGTTTAAAAACACCGGGGTTGAGGGATTGAGAGCTTGTGTCCCTAAATCTTGAGCTGTATATAAACCCTATTGAGCCCACACTCTAAAGCCTACACACTACAAGCCCTAAACCCTGCGAGCCCTAAGAAACCCTACGCCGTAAGCCCCAACACAGGCGAGTCTTCGAATATCTCTGGTTATGGGCGTGGCTGTCTTGCCGGGAGCTCTGGTGTTCCTCCTTTGGGGCTACTGGAGCCTCGGATGAGTTGCGCTTTTAGGGATTATGAGGTTTAGGGTTTAGACTCAAGCAGTCAATATGGAGCCGTTGGGTGGTTGTGCACTTGTTGTTGAAATCACTCGCTAGTGCTTGTTGTTCAGTCTTCTTACCTGTTGTTGATACGTAAGGCCTCCTTCTAGCCTAAAACTCCCATATAGGATCAAGGATTAGATCAAGGATTAACCAGACTCCTGCAAAGGCCAACAGTAAATTCAGTAAATGTTGGGGCTGCCCCCGAAATCTGGTCGCGAGAGTCCGACACCACCAAAGTTTCCAGGCTGCTACTCCTATGAAACCTCTAAAACCCGTACCAACTCCTTGTAAGACCCTTCAAAGTCTTTATGACACCCTTATACAAGCCTAAATCCTAAAAGTCTAGAAGCATGGCTTAGCAGCACCTGGACACCTACTTGGCACCGAATCATTTCATCATCACACAACCCAATGAATACATTAAGTACGCTCCTTGTTCAGATGTCCTGGAAGGCGAGCTGCGTAGACGGGCCGAACACGGATAGCTTGTTAACCCCATGCCGTTTAGGTTTGCAAAGGCCTGCATCCCCAGCCCGGCGCGCCAGTACTTCGTGATAGGTTGAGGCTGGCCAGGCAGCATGTAGTATCTCAAGTGCCCTTTTTGATGCTACGGTTGCTGATATAAATCCTGCATTACCCAGAATAAGGAACATACCATAATTCCCGTAGCTTAGGGTCCTTAAGGTAATGCACGATTTATATCATGAACAGTATGTCTACCACACAGGTTGCACACTGGCGCCAGCAGCACGCAGCCTGAACCGGAACCATGCTTCTCAGGAGAGAGCAGGCCACCAACCATAGGCCCCATAGTAGTTCCGTTTTGTGCCTTATATTTAGGATCCTCTTAGGTAATCCCAAAAAGGAACTACTATGGGGCCTATGGGTGCAAATTTGCATGATACACTCATCGGAAACAAGATTGCATCAGGCAGCTCACCCACAACGCAAAAAAAGATGACCGCACTTTCAGTATAGCTTATATGTACGTATAGGTAGTATGGCACGATTTGGGATTTTCCGAAAATTAGGGGTACCTAACTTTGGGGTCCTTATAATAAGGATCCCATTATTTGGGGTACTATTTTGGGGTCCCCTATTTTCGGAAACACCCATTTCTTCTTCCAGCTGGTTAGGAATCTTTCAACTTCCCTCTACCTCCTCGGCGAGCAACCTTTCAAGAACTGGCCGACGGATCTGCAGCAGCTCGGACACGTTTTTGGTAAAAGGGGATCTTGCGGGGGGTGGCGGTCGGTATCCCGTTGTAGTTCCTGTAGATAATGATACTTATTACATCCCAGAGCTCCGATTCTAACATTGCATCCCAGAACTCCGATTCTAATATTACATCCCAGAACTCCGATTCTAATCTCTACGAACCCTAAACTCTAAATCCTGTATTGAGCTCTGAAGTTAGCGCCGGAAGGGTTGAGGATGGGCCTGGCCGGTCAACTGTCATCCACTTAGGGCCTTTGGGTTTGGGTTTCGGGTGGGTTTCAATCTTTGATCTAGGTGGCATTTTGGGAAACTTTAAAATTCCCCTTATGGTTTCTATAGAGGTACCTATTCATAAATGCTTTTCAGGGCCCCAAACTACAACCCAGTTGATAGTTTTTTTCTGAGCTCAGTCGCGCAGGCAGCCTCGAAAGACAGTTTAAACCGGGGGAAATACAAGTTCTAGCTTCTGGGCATACATGGCTGCTAAGACATGCGTTTCCAGCGAGAGATCTCGCGTTGGGACTGGACATGCAACGCAACAGCTATGAGCTTGTAGAACCCGTCAGCATCTGGCCGGAATACCCTCCAAACCCCGAAATATCGCCTCTCGATCCGGGACCGGGGTCCCTGACAGATCCGCTTCCTCCTATGCTTCCTTGTGGAGAGGCGTTTAAGCCTCCACCTCCCGAAAACCCTTAAGCTCCAGTCCCCGAGGTGGGCTCATATCCTGAGTGAGGGCTTCGGTGACGGATACATCATGCTGCTGCCGGAGCGGGCTGCTTGTGGTGGGGCTTTGCTAGGGGCACTAGGCTTCAGGTGGAGTTTCACAATTGCAGTGATACATCTCTTGCTCTCTCTCTCTCTCTCTCCCTCGCTCTCGGGCCGACATCAAATTTCTTCGCCTTGAGTCATCCGTCGTGCCTTCGCTCTAGTTCTAACTTTGTTTCAGCTGGCGGGATGGGGGTGGGGTTTGGCCACAGGACGTGGAACTTGGTTTTACCACTTGCGCTCCCCGACTTTGTTGCTGCTACTGTCACTGATCCGTGCTACTGTCACTGCTGCCCTGCTAGTACTGCGACTACTGCTACTGCTTCTGCTACTGCTGCTACTACTACTACTACTACTACCACCACCACCGCCAACGACGACGACTACGACTACGACGACGACTACTACTAAAATGTAGCACGACGACGACGACGAGAGTAAATGCACGAATACTATTACCAATAAGATGAATAATCGTCGTTGTCAAGCACAAGACTAGTAATTGAGAACCATCCTCATGGCGACGTACCTGGCTGCAGCTACTATAGGTTTGTGTGTCGTGCATTGGCTGGCTAGGGGGCCTCTCCCTAAACTCCAGCAGGGATCATGAATCAGCGCAACAGCGACTGTTGAATTACCCTGAACCCTAAGACCTAAAACCATATACCGTACAAGTCTAGAAAGGCTTAGAGCTAGTATCCCTCTGAGACCATAGGTCATACAGCCCTGCAAACCTTAAAAGACTGATATCCTAGTCCTAGACTTTGGAAGAGGTGCTTGAAGATGCCATCCCAAGGCCAGGACTCCATGAAGTGCACTCTCATCACATGTAACTGAGTCGCAGCAGATATTATGGTTTAGGCTTAAGGGTGTCAGGGCTCTGGGTTTATACTGCATGGCGCTTGAAGGGGTCCTGTTGTAGCAGTCTGGGCTCTAGCTCGTTGGAGGCCGAGGTCAACCTAATTCCGCTTCAACGGGGACTTCGACGCCGCATCACCAGGAGGGGAGTAGAGCCCAAGTTCATGGCTTTGTCCTTTATGAGTGGAGAAGCACCGGCATCTCATAACCTCCCAAACACCTACGGAATGAAAACCTGCCAACTTGCGGGAGACTGTGTGGCTGATTAAATTTGAGCGACTTCAACTCTTCAAGGATCCGCGTCGACAGTCGGTCACAGCCGAGAAGGCAAGTTTCAAGAATCGAACCGATGCCAGGCTTCGGGCGAGGTGTACGGCTGATTGCCACTTCGCGGCTCGCCTCCGGACTCTCAGACGACCAGCCTTTTACACAATCTTCTCTCGCCTTATTCCGACATATCTTGAATAGTGCCCAAAGGAACACATCCCCGTGCTTCCACCACGCAATCCGCCAAAATACATGTGGTCGAAACTTAATACTTAATGCGCCTTTTCGAAGCATGCTTGTTCTGTTGTGGTAGCACGAGTGACCGTAGCAGTTCACACCCAACTATCAACCCTCTATGCTGAACGACGGACGAACTCCGACCCTTGAAACTCACAGAACACCCTCAACACACGGACAGGGAACTACTGGCCTGCAGGCTGCTATGACAGCTCCGCAGCTGGCCTTGCAACGGGGATGAACTTTGGGGATTATCGTCTCTCTTAGCAAGCAGCCTGTTAAGGAACCCTGTTGCTATTATGACTACTGCTACTGTTATTATTACTGTTGTTGGTGTTGTTGTAGTTCATAAAATTATCATATACTGATACTCTTGCTATGTCTATTACTATCAACTATTAACTATTAACTATTAACTATCAACTATTACTATTACTGTCACTCTTACTATTGCTAGTCCTATTCCCACTACTATTCTTAATCTCATGATTAATCTTTTTTGCCTTTACCGGAATGGGCTCTTTTTGGATGCCTCGGCTTGACAACTGACTCGAGGCTGCGAGCTCCGCCTTTCTGACCTTATTTGGGGTTCAAGGAAGGTCTGCTTTGCAACCTTAAACCCCTCCAACCATCAAACCCAAAATCCTTTTTGCACCTTCACAACTCGGACAAACCAGGCGAGGATCCATAAACCCAAAATCCTTTTTAGGGTTTAGGGTTCAATCCCGCGAATCCCCAAACCTGCGCTCCTGGCCATTATAAGATCACGGGCCGGGAGCGAACAAGCTGGGGCTATGGCAGCATTCGGGTCGTGCCGGAAGGCCTGCACGGTAGCCAGCAGGTCCGGTCCGGAGGATGTTCATAAGGGGGGTACAAGTTAGGCGACACGCTTCGGCACTGTGTGTGTCCTATCTTCCTAGGTCCTAAGTCGCGGTGTGTCCGCTTTTCGACTCTATCCCATCCAAACGTCCCTACATAGGACTCTCAAGCAAGAGAGAAAAACACGACCAACGCCAACCAAAACCACAACAGCAAAACACAAACAGACACACACACACACGCCAGCATCAGCACCGGCACCGGCACCAGCAACAACAACAACAACAACAGCCACAACAACAGCACCAACAACTGTCTGTACATTCTGTAGAGACAAAAACAGGAGCCCCGTCGTGATGTTTTACCCCCCCCCAACAACAACACAGCTGCGATGGTCTACAGGGTTAAGGATTTGCAAAGGATTTCCATGGATTTTAGCGAATTCCCAAGATTTCAATATTTTTCAAAAGATTTCCAAGGATTTTCAGTGGATGTCCAAGGATTATCAAAGGATTCCCGGTTGGGCGCGTGCGGTAGGTGTCCAGGGTTCACGTCGGGGCTGCAGCGCCGAAAGCCCAAGCTTTCCAAAGCGTTGATATTTTTTTCTACATTCCCTTCCAAAATATCACAGAAACCCTCTAAAACTCCCATTAAAACCCATCAAAGTCATCACATAACATCCTTCCAAATCCTTGTTGAAAATTCCAGACGAACCCCCCAACCCCATTTAAAACCTTCAGCCCCCATATAACCCTGCAGAATCCCGAAGCACTTTTTGTCTCTGACAAGGTCCTGATTTCAATGGGGCCTTTGCCTCTACCTGCTGCTAGAAATAAAAACTGGAGCCCCGTCTGTTGTTTTGACCCCCCTCTACAACAACCACCCAGCCTACGCCGCATTTCTACCATGAGGCAGATGCTATGTAAACCATGGCTTGCATTCACCAAAACTCTACAGGCTCTCGTTGCGGTCGCTGGAAGCATTCCCAAAATGCTTGTAACTAACATAAGTCACGGGCTGCTGTTTTTGTCTGTACCCACAACAAAAACAAACATATTTTACTTCGAACATCCCCACCCTACAGATAATGCTTTTGCCAAGCCTATACGAGTCTCACGGTTGTCTGTTGGGATTGGGCACAGGGAGTCTCGGGACGGTAGTCTGTGGGGTTGGGCGGTAGTCTGTTGGGTTTGGGCACTCCAGGGAGTCTCACGGGGTTGGGCACTCCAGGGAGTCTGACGGTAGTCTGTTGGGATTGGGTATTCCAGGCGGTAGTCTGTGGGGTTGGGCACTCCAGGAGGTAGTCTCAGCGGGCGAGGAGTAATAACTGAGTAATAGCTGACTTTATAATCGAACAACGCCACACCGAGGGTGAGAAAAACCCAGCCATAACAAAATTGAACTGCAAATACCGGGGCCAGCACCTGCAACAACATCAATATCTTCAGCTAACCTCACAACTAGTAACTAGTACAACAGACTCGGCAACGGCAACAATGAAAACGACAGTACCACCACCTCCACCTCCACCACCACAAACCACTGCCGACAACAAGAAGAACAAGGACAACAACAACAACAACCACAGCAACAGCAACAGCAACAACAACAACAACGACAACAACACCAACACCAACACAAACACCAACATCAACAAAAACACCAACACCAACACCACCACCACCACCACCACCACCACCACCACCACCACCACCAACAACAACAACAACAACCACAACCACAACAACAAACACAGCAACAGCAACAACAACAACAACAACGACACCGCCACCACCACCACCACCACCACCACCACCACCACCACCACCACCACCACCACCACCACAGCCAACAACAACAACACCACCACCACCACGACCACCACCACCACCACCACCACCAACAACAACAACGACAACAACAACAACAACAACACCATCAGCAGCATCAGCAGCAACAACAACAACAACACCAACACCAACCCCAACCCCAACACCAACACCAACACCAACAACGACAACAACGACAACGACAACACCAACACCAACACCAACACCAACACCAACACCAACACCAACACCAACACCAAAACCACAACAACAACAACAACAACAACAACAACAACAACAACAACAACAACAACAACAACAACA